GGATTTTCTTTGTTACTTGATATGGATGAAAGCAATGATTTTCCTTAAACATTAGGCTTATATTTTTTTCTGTGATTTAAAAAGCGCTAGGTGCCAAAAGGCACTAAGGTCAAAAAACGACCAAGGCGCTAGGTGCTCGCCCAAGCGCTCGCCCGAGCGAAGCGAGATGCTAAAATATAAAAATATATAATATAATTAATATATATAATTATTTAAATAAAAAATATGCTATTAAATTAAAAAAAAATCGGGTACAAAATCATAATAAATAGATAAATCATAATAGTATATTTTTATTTTTTAAATAAAAAATACTATTAAATAAATAAAAATTAATAGTATTAAAATCAAAATAATATAATATTAATATAGTAAATAAAAATACTATTATTAGTATACAGTTAGCAGTATACTATTAATATACTGTTAACAGTATAGTGAGAAGAGTGTGAGAAGATCGAGACTGCTCAGGCAACGGCAGTGGTAGTAAGCGACAGTCGTAGCTCGAGCGGGAGCGGCGAGCGACAGCGGGAGTGGGAGCGATAGCGGGAGCGGCGAGCAACGATTGTGGCAGCGGGGAGTAGCGACAGTAGCGGCGAGCAACGACAATGGCAGTGGCAGCGACAACGGAGAAGAAAGCACGACGGCAAAATCATGTGTTAGGGTTGGGGAAGTCGGGGAAATTGCAAGAGGGAGCCTGATATCGGTGATTTAGTTGGTTTGATTGAACCAACTAAAGCACCAGAGACCAACCAGACCTAAAAATCTGGTTCGGTCACCTAGTTTAACCCAGGCGCTTGCCCGAAGTGCCCGACGCCTAGGCTCGGGCGAGCGCCCAGGCAGTGCCTCTTGGAAGCGAGGCGCTTGGACATGAAGCGAGGCGCTCGGGCCTCGCCTCGCCCGAGCACCTAGGCGAGCGCCCGAGTGCCTATTGAAATCACTGACTTTTTTTTGTTAATTTTGTGTTTGGATGAGTGAATGTTGAAGTGCTTAGGAGTCATTATAATCTTTATATATGTTTATCTAATGTAAATTCAGTATCATCTTCTAAAGATGAGGGAACATTTGTTTATAAAAGAGTGTAATGAACAATTGGCAGATGGTGAGTTCCATATGAGGAAGTTTACTATGGATGTACTTGTTAGCACATATAGCATACTAAGATCATGACTTGTTCATCTAGTCTTGTGCAAAATTACATCCTACTACACTCCATATTGATCATTGACTATTCTTCTATAAGGGATGAATTTTTTATGAAATTTCTACCATCAATTTTAATGAGTTTGCTGGAAACCATAATTTGTATGGACCTTACATTTGTATCTGTATGACATAACTTTTCCAGAATTCCAAAGACCCATATATTGTATGGGCTTAGCACTTATACATGCGTGACACAATTTCCTTGGAAATTTATTATTTTTACTTGCCTAGCATATCCAAATGTCTGACATATCTTTTGTAGTTATAATATTTAGTTTTCTCAAAGTGCCCATGCCATAGCTTTTGTTATATATACTCCAATGCTTAAGGCACCAGGCATGCACTTGAGCCAAATTAATGGAATTGATTCATATATAAATTAGAAGGTAAAACTCATCTTATAAAAATTATAAAAAAATATAATTGATGATAAATATAATTAGAAGAAAAAACTTCAATCAAATATATCATTATATATAAATTAATGGAATTGCTTTGGTTTAATTATTGTTTTGGTCCTTTTGATTTAAGCATGTCCTGCACCAAATGGGCTAATATGCCACTTATTATGAATCAGATAGTTGCTAAATATTTTTAGTGTATCACAAATGGTAGGGATGTTGCATGGTAGAAAATAATCCTTGATATGGAGTTTTGGACAAGCCTGGCTCAGTATAAATTGTCAAATTTGAACTTATGTGGCTTTTAACTCATGGGTGTACTTAGATTCAAGTTAGATTGAACACAGTCCAAATCCATATGATAGTAAAGTTTGGTAGAGCAAGAGTAGACCTAAATGAATCATAATGGAAATTAAGTTGTCATTATGTCTATAACAACATGTCCTAATCCATAGTTGTTATGTATAATCAAAATGAATCAGATACATGGGTTGGTGCTAGTTAGTTTAACCGGTAGAGATTTGATCAGTCCTGGGATCAAAACATGCCTTCACCCCTTGTCATCAAAAAAGTAAAAAAAAAAAAATCAGATACTTAGGATTATTTTCTTGGTATGCATCAGGTCCATATATGATTATATGTTGTTTGCTGCCAAAACATGACCTGATCCTGCATATTTGATATGAATCCAGCTCATCGTGTGAAGCATATTTCCCACAAACTAGAACATGGGTGCAGCCGTAATCCAAACACAAATATTGTATCCAGGATTATGATCCTGATCCTGCATATTTGATATTTGATATGATCTGATCCTGCATATTTGATATGAATCCAGCATCGTGTGAAGCATATTTCCCACAAACTATAACATGGGTGCAGCCGTAATCCAAACACAAATATTGTATCCAGGATTATGATAAATAATACTGAACCTGGTCATCAGGTACAACTCATGTATCATATATCAGGCTGTAGGTCAGATTAATCTTTGCTATATTGTTCCTAACATGTATCCACCATGATTACATAGTAGCCTATACTTTTGTATGGTGTGGAACACAAAGAATATTTTTGGGATAAGGATGTCAGGTATTAGAAGCTACTAACTGAAGGTTTGATCTTATGAATACACCTTTTAAGTATTAAGGAAAGAAAAAGGGATATTTGAAACGTAAATTGTATGTAATAATAAATGATAGTTCAAATATATTTTTGAGAGGGAAGCTTCACTAAGTATATCTTTGGTACAACTATAAGATTTGTAAACTAATAATGCTATTCCATGCCCTTGCCTTAGAGGATGTGGCTTGTTATCATTAGTTGTCAAAAGCCAAGAATTCTGAATATTTGACTGCCATTCATCAAAACATCTTGTAACCAATTGTATATATCCAATATATTAGAGTGATGATCAATTCAATGCTATACTTTTTCGCTGTTGCAGGCTGCTGGCTCTCATAGTGAGACTTTACTTGAAGCTGTGATTGCAGTTAGACATTAGGTTGAAAATCTTGTTGAACTGATGTATATGGTAAAAATATGAAAGGTAGGAATCACTTATGTGTGCATCCAACCACATGTTGCTTTTCTTCTGGACTAAGAACAGAAGTTTGAATAAAGATTATAAGCGAAAAGTTTGAATTACCTTTTACCTCTAATCTTCATGATGCAACTTATGATATTTCAATTATACCCTTTACTCGCCATAGATGGTGTTATTGTCTTCCAGATTCTTTGGAAGGGATCTTAAGGATTGCTCAGCAATTGCATAACATATAATTCCAACTAGCTCTTGCTGTAGGTTGCATCCAAATGTATAAATTTTGTCATCTTCCATGGAGCACTAAGAAGACTTGGGGTTACTCCACTAACCCAACTCTATGTTGTTAACAAGGTTTGGGATACGAGGTTGAGTGCTAAGAAGTAAGATACCCACAATATCGAACTCCTCTAAGCTCTTGACTCAACAAATCTTGTTGGAGATTTTACTTTTGGAACCATATAAGGCCAAAGACATGTTTTACATTTCGAAGGAGTTGAAATGTCAAGGTAAAGGTTGCTTGCTGTCTCCATGTCCCGGTTGAAAGCAATGCAAGGTTAAAGGATTAAGTGGTCTGTTTTTTCACATTATATGTGTATTAAAAGAATATTGGGAAGAGAAGTGATTTTTGGTGTTTAAGCTTAAAAATGGGTGGGGAAGAAAAATCTGTTCTTTTAGTATTTTATGATGATGGAATACCTGCGAAAGAAGAATAATATCTCTTGTATATTCATCATCAATTTATCAAACAGGGAAAGTGTGAATAAGCTGAGATGCAAGTCAGATATTTTATTTGTATCAGTTCATTATTCGTTAGTATATATATATATATATATGCTACTAAAATAATTAGCATATTTCTGGTGCAGCAACGGCTGGCTTCCACTTTCTTGATGACAATGCCATATGCATGATGGCCAATTTCATATTTAGGCATTTGGAAATTTAGTTCATTCTTTAAGTTAAAACCTTCAATCTGAATGTGTCACCTTTGATTTTCAATCATTATAGAATTCTGTTTCATTATGTAATACTATTAGATGTCTATTTAGTGTTAGCTAACGAATATGTGCTAGATCTGTTTACTCTTTTATCTGTTGATGTAAAACATAACTTTGACTTGTTCTTAAATATCATTAGAAAATGGAAAATTGGAAATAATTTTATTCCATTTTGTCATAGGAAGTTTACTTTTCCAAGAGGTTTGTCATACAGGCAATAATATTTCTCCTCCTAGCGCAGAAATAATTAATTCCAAGAGGTTATCATTTTGGAATGATGCAAGTAATTATCTGGGCGTGTTGGTGTTTTCATCTTCTAACTTAAGGTATTTGTGTTACAGGTTCTTTGTAAACCTGGTGTGACAATGGAGGTTGAGGTACCTGTTGATTAAGTCATTGTATAGCAACGTTTCAGTGGATTGTCTCGTCATATACTTATAAAACATTACAATAAAAAGGCAATTACTTCTTTATGTTCCTGGACATGCAATATCAAATGTATTAGAAAATAAGATAAAGCAGTAAATTGTTGAACTATTTTGCTATCTTTATTGTTGGGTTTTTCCCACAGTTGTAGAGCAGGACTTTGCCCAGACCAGCCTATAATAACACAAGTGATATAATTTGTTTCTATCATAGGATTGGACGATTCATCAGTCAAACTCACTTTTATTTACCCTTTTGTTTTTTGTCCTTTTCGCCGAAAGTGCTCTACTGCTCTTAACATTGAACTTTGTCTCTTTGTTGGCTAGCATACTTCTGGAGTATATTTTTTGCTGTTTAATCATTGCGCGTGCGCAAGGACAACTAATGAAGAACTAAGATTGCTTTTAACAGTTGGTCTCACCATTGCATCATAAGTCATTTTTCCTTCATTCAATTATTGTCTAATAAAGATGCTCGGAAAAGAATCACAGTCCTTCTCTCAGCCTTGCAGCCACAAGAGCGGACTACTTCGTAGTCCACCCTCCACATCGAGCGATACAACATCACTACCTACATGCCGGCGCATAAAAATAAGGAATGTGTGCAAAGACAATGGAAAATGGGGCAACTGTGATGGGCTGTGTTGCTTCGACTTTAACAGGTTCCAGCTCTGGAATATTCCCACTGGAGTCCACAGCTAAGATGTTGCCATTCAGCAGCACGGTCTGGCTATGGATGTCCCCATCCTTGGCTGTTAGGTGGTACTCTTCCCTGGTGAACTCACTCGTCTTCCCCAGCCTTGGAATGTGGTTGAATCTTGTTCTGTGAGCCCCGTGACGGCGATGCTGCTTCAGAGCCGCTGAGTAAACAGTTTGAGTGGTGACAAAAACCGGAGTGGTGCTGTTGTTGCCACTGAGATTGATCAACAGTAGCGTAATCCCAGGCTGCCAATATCACGAGGAGACTGTGTCAACAACGGAAGGCGAGGAATCGGTCCTGGCACCAATGTAAATCTACTTACAGATTCTCTGGCACAATGTGCGTATGCCCTTATCTTGTTCGTCCCGGTTATATTTGTCGACAAGACGCGTCTCCCCATCAACCGATGCCACAGGAGAGCACTGCAGGTAGAGGGGAGATTTCAGTACACTTAGCTGTAAAGCCACAACAGAAAGAAGTGGATGGCTCGCCTGTAATAGTCAGGATTCGGATGGAAGGTGGTGGTGTTGAGCAGGCCATAGTTTCCACCGATCAACGATTGCCTGCAATAAGTCTTGGTGTCGTACGTTGACGACATGCCGAGCTGATCCAAGTACCTACCAGCTCCGAAAGGCAATTATAATGTCCTCAAATGATTCTTACAAGACTTACAATAATTCAGAGGAGGTGGTACCATTGGGCTCACCAGAAGCTGAAAACAAAGGAATCCGTCACCAGATGGTGACCACTGTTGTATGCCCCTCCTGCTTCACCCACCCAAGCAATGGTACTAGTTCCTGCACTGCTAAGAATCCTCTGTAGATCCCGAAATGTACCGGCTTCACCATCCAGATAAGAGGGATCAATAATTTTCTCAGTCAAGTGCTGGTCAACACCTACAATTTGTCAAGAGTCTTTAACTTGTCTACCAGAGAGAGAGAGAGAATATAATGCTGAGCCTGTAGCAGTAAAAGTCATACCCGGACCAAGATTATAGATGTGGTGAGTAATCACATCCAAGGAGTTGGGTTTCGTCTTGCTGATGATCTCGGTGAACCAATTGGTATCCAAGAATCCCCCTGGTGCTAACACCAATGGCTTATCCTGTAACCCTTGGTAAATCTCATTGATGATTGATCTGAGGTTGATCACATCTGCAGCATACTGATCTGCTCCAATTCTAGCTCCAACTCCTGATCCACTTAGTTCATTTCCTAAGGCACACAGAGGAACATTCAATTTTGCAGCAAAATTTTTTTTTGGCCAACACAGAAAAAAGAGCCTGTTTGTATAGCCTTTGCAATTGGTTAACAAGTTCCCAAAGTATTCAGGAATTATCAAGGTAGGCTTACCGAGTTCCCAGCCATGGATGGTGTAACCCTTGTTGACTGTGTATCGGATAAGAGCAGCAGCGTTGCTGTAGTTCCAGGGTCCTCCTAGAGAACCATCACTCAAAGGAACTCTTCCATTGAGAGCATTCAGACCAAAGATAATGACAGCCCTGGAGCATACACAGGATATGCAACATGAAATTTCTCGGTAACTCAATTACTAAGTTATGCACTCAATTCATGGAAGTAGAAAATTCAATACCCGGCCTTTTGGAAGAACTCATTGAGTTCATCCCATCTTGACATTGGTAAGCAACCTTGAGTGAAACCAAACATCTCAGAAGTGCTCTTGATAAATTGTGTACATGATTGTTTCGGATCTCCTGTGCCATATATGATCTTATCTTGCAAGGAACCCCCAAGACGAAGCTTCAGAGGAGAAAATGCTGAAAAAACAATACCGAGAACAAGGAGACAAACAGAAAAAAATAAAAAAAAAATATATTTCAGAATACTAATCTTCAAGAACTGAGACAATAAGAACAGGCAGCTGTTTTTCCGCATATGTATTACTTCCCCACCTTTGACAGCATTCAGCAAGATGGGGTTGGAAAGATTCTGCATGAAGGAAAAGATGAAACACCTGTGTCAATCACGATGTTTAAAATTATTCAAGTTTCATGTATTAACTCAAAAGAATAGACAAGTATCTAAAGAAACATATAAAACCACCAAATATGCATATCATAATCCCATTGCTCAGATCATTTTCTTATAAAGTATCCCGTAATTGATTCCTAAAAAGATCACAATAGAAACTATAAATAAAAATTTAAATACTCTAGACTTAAGTAAACATATGATTCTTTATAGGTCTCAAGAGATCCATATAACCAACCCCAAATACTTGGGACTTACGATTTCATTACTATTATTTCTAGCTGATTAATTTGGATGGAGATACCATTACATTATAATAGTCCATATAATGATGACATGTGAAAAGCAATGTTCCACCTCCCGGGATACTTCATCGAGAAACCTATCCTTAGAATCAACAGCAAACATTCTGAATGATAACATACCACTTAAAATATGCATCACAATCACAAGGTTAGTGTGAGTGCTCTATCAAAACATCAATATATTGCTGCAACATGCATGACTTAATTAGCATAGCATGCTGCAGAAGTTCCAACCTACCAAACTAAATTCCAAGAACTTATGGAAATCATGAATGAGGTGTTCTTTGGCACCAAATCCCTAACTAAAACCTACACGACAGATAGATCTCATGGCTTTCCATTCTCTCAAACCCACGAGGAATTGCCTCATCGATTCCATCTCCTCAATCAAACAGTACCCTCAAACTCCGATTTGTTTCATCATCACGCCCAAAAGAATCTGCACACGCTCCAGATTTTGTAATGCTAATCGAGAACCAACAAGAAAAGCTAAACATGTTAGCAAGCCACATTAGCACTACCACCAACACAACACCAACACAACTCACCAGATTGAGCAAGGAAGCCAAACCCCAACTACATGTCCCGTAATCACATTTCTCCGGCGGCCACCAATCCAGCGTAGCACAGACAAAATCCCCGTCCGTCACCGCAATGGCGGCGGTGCCGTCCACGACCACAGCCACTGCGTCGGCACCAGACGTGCCCGGTCCGCCGGAATACACCGCGACCGGCCCCGCGAGCCACAGAAACCCCCAGAAGAAGAACCCGAGGAGCTGGGAAAGAAGGCCACCGCCCATTTCTCCCTTGGCAAGAAACAAAAGCAAAGCAAAAGGCTAGCGGCCCAAATGGAGGGAGGCAGAGGAGATCGCCGGACTATATAAGCAGCGCATCATTCTGGAGAAGGGAAAGGGGGGAAGGAATTGAATGAGGGCTTCGGTTTGGTTTGGTTTGGTGGAGAAAATTAAGCTTGGAATCTCTTTTAGCAGAAGGGGACGAGAGAGGGAAAGGTAACTTTTGGTTTCCTTTTCTTGCATGCACCTGAGGTGATGCGACTCCTTTATGGACCACTGTCTCCACACACAAATGCCGACGGTGGGGGGTTATCCTACCACTGGTTAAGCTGCCATTTACCAGTAACAAAGACAGTGCAGGAATTGCGAGAGAGAGAGGTGGGGAGCATGTGAGGAGAAGGTGGAGTGTTGGTTTGGTGGCATCGGGGGCGGGATGAGAGCTTTTTTGACTGTAGCTTAATTAATGCAAGAGGAGGCCGACATCCCCATATAGATAGATGCGGCATTACGGTATCGAATGCTGCATGGAAATAATGAGTTTGACCGCCGGTCTTAAGTTTTTGAAATCATTAACTAAGGTCTATTATTTTTATTAGTGTCATGCGACAACGTTCAAATCTTCTTCTGGATGAGATTGCCACCTTAAGAACTGGCAGTTCCAGGTTTGTATGAATCAGGTGACCATGGTGTTTAATTACAAGGAATAGGTTGACGATCATGGTGATGTGATGATTGTGTGTGGCTCCTGAGTAATTAATTACAAGGAATTGCTTGATGATAATGGTAGTAGATCCAACAAGGTTAACTAACTTACGTATGGCGGCGATGGAAAAGATCACATGGATAGGTATGTCTCCAATTATTGCACGCCTTTATGCAAGTGGGTTGGTTCCTTCTAATAAAATGGGCAAATAAATGCCACCTTTCTTCCATTCGGTACTTTGTATTCGGAGATTACGTTTGGCTTTCATGTAGCCGAAGCTTGCGGGTTGAGAAAGGGAGTTGGTGATTGGTTTGACAGGAGAGAGTTAACCAGTATAGGTTGCATGCAAGCAAAGCTATAGTTAGCGTCCCCCTCTTCATCAAGGACACGTTCTTAATAGTTTTTCTATATATGCTGCTGTCTTTCGAGGCAAAGAACTTTAGCCGGGAATGCAGGACTTGGCGTGGGGAATACATCTAACTTTTAGATTTTTCTTGTTTATGTGTGCACTCAACACCACCTAAGGTAAGGTAGTGGGGACATGGAAGTCTAGTGAATGGTAATCTAATAAAGATCGATCAAAGAGTAATGTGGTTGAAGATTCAAATGCACCTGTAGATAGATGTAAGTGTTCTTTCCATTCCATTCTCCTGAGAACTCATTTATAATCAAAATTGTTGGATGTCATGACAAAATCTGACAGTTTTAATCAAGTAAAATATAATTTTGTGAAGCCAATCCAAACCCTTGGAATCCAGAATTACCAAAGTACATTCAGATATGATTTGCTGGGAAAAAAAAAAGGCAGAATCAAATATAAGATACCTCTGCAATCCTTCACTGTTGTTTATTTGAATATATCTGGGTAGTAATTAAACATAAAAGGGTCCGCCATTACTAGATACCTCATCTCCTTTTAACTTCTAAATTTCCTCAACTGGCAATGAAAATACAAAAAAAAAAAAAAAAAACATAAGAAAAATGATTACTTTACACGAAGACAGTAAGTATATATACAATGGGGGCTGGTATAGCACTTGAGCTGTCAGCAATAACCAAACTGCCCACTACTAATTACACAAGCCAGTGAACAGCAAGCCAATGATGAGAATTGGGTAATTTTTTCTGATTAATGTCTCCAATCCTCGAGGGTAGCTGCTAAGGTACAGAAACCGGTTTCACCTTTGCCTGTGCTGAAGCTGCTGTGCCCGTGCGATCCTATCTGCATACATTGGGAGGTGCACAATTTCGGAAATTTCATTCAAGAGAACTTCTTCTGTGATGTTGTCGTTAATGCTGCGCATCACCTGTTGCGGCAAACAGCAGAATTAGATAGATATGCACTGATAAGGAATGCAACCTCTGACAAACATATATATATATATATATATATATATATATATATATATATATACTTACCTTTCTGTAAGTGTTGATATCATTTGGTGTAGCTTTATCTGTTCTTATGCGCATGCATGACCAGCAGCCTTCTTGTGCATCCCAGGAGCATTCGACGATCTTTCCTGAAAGGCTTGCGATGTCCTCTTCGCCTATACAAGTTTTAAGAATGAGTTTTAAGCATACAATTTACAGTTAAGAAGGAAAATGTACCTTATAAAGTCCAAATCAATAGTGCAGGCAAAGTTAAAACAAAAACTAGAGCCAGAAACTAATGCAAGCATGTGCATTAGTTTAAATACAATATGCTAAACAGACTCTATCATGGCTAATGTGCAGCTATGCTGGATGTTCAGTGTCCAACTTAACTGAATGTATATTAAGAGCACATACACATTTGCAGAGCTCACTGAGTACTTATTAATTGTACACTATTCTTGCACTCTTAACAGTTGCCCCGCTTGATAACTTTAATGGCTTAATGTGATATTTACCAGGCCCTGATGTCTGATAATTCTCCATAAGCATTATATTTCAAAAACAGTTGCCTAGACTAATACGTAGGGCTGCACCACCTTGTGAAAAGGCTTCAATGATATGCCTGGGAATCAACATTTAGGAATATGCCTAGGGAAATAGGTAACACGTAGGCACTCCATTTAATCTGTCTTGTGTAGTCAGTTCTAGAGCATTAGCCTAGATACTTAGATGCAATACCCAAGACAAAAGGATAATGCATAAAGTTCTCGCCGATATGAGGTTTGGAAAAAGTCCATGTATATTCGCTTACTCCAAACGGACAAGCTAATTTATAAGACAAATCCTGGTCAACATAGGCTGCTAAGGAGCAACGTTATAGTGACATCAAGCCTGGCCCTCTCCCATGAAACAGTACAATAAAAATAAACTACTTGAATATTAAGTTCACCAAGCCTTTTTAAGGCAACAAAAATCCTTTTCCATTAAAGCCAGAAGATGATGAAAAAGAAGTGCAAAGAAAGAACAAATAGACAATAAAGCAAGTCGAAGATAACAAAACAAAACAAAAAAAGAAATACTGGATGGTAAGCTCTATATCACTTATGGACCACCCAAAATTGGGCAGTCCGTATTCTGTTCCATTGGGAAGCAGTATGTATTAAGTAGTATAAAATGAGTCCTTCCAGTTTGTAGAACTCTGGATATGAATTTGAATATGTCAATATCTGGTCCATCTTCATCCTATAAGAAAGATCTCTTTTATTAGATTCCCTTGATATCACAATTAAATTATGTTGTCAAATTGCTGATTATACCCCTTACCAGATAAACATGAATTACCATACAATTATGCTTCTAGCTGACATCATACCGAAAATGGAGCCTTTGAACTTATGGATAGTGACACTTATGGAATTCTTAACAACATACATAATGCCAGTCAGTAAAAGGTGCATGCCCATGCATGACCAGAACACAGCATATTCTATGCCATTTGATCAAAAGACACCTCATAAATGGATGAAGTCCCACTCCACTGAGACTTTCCAAACCAAATTCCACAGGGAATTCCACTGCCCCAAAAACCAATCAGTTACCAAATAAAAATAACCACGATAAAAGAAGGAACCTATGACTGGGAACTCAGATGTGATATAGTGCAACAACACTCAATCTTGCTGTCATGTGTATAGACCAGTGCAAACCTAAAAGACCACCCATCAACACCTACTAAATTTCTGGTTTGATGGACATGGTTGAGATCTCAATCTACTGCACAAGCATTGTCATTCATGTCAATTGTCACTGCAGAATAGAAGGCCAACACCTACACCAACATGGTTTGAAAATATTCTGCAGTCTGCACACTGTCACAATCTTTGATCGATAATCAACATGAATCGAAATAGCATTGATTTCTTTTACCTTTTATACTGAACTATGCAGCTGAAAGATAACAATTATCTCACATATAACCACCATCCAGAAGTCAACAAGAGGCATTTCTGGATTTTTTTCTTTAATTTTGTGCAATTTACTAGCTGGTTTTCGAAATAGTAATTTTTGCATTGAAAGTCAGTTATTTATGGACCAAATAATTCTATATTCAACCCAATTCAGACAACTTCTGTATTGAATGCTTTCTCATAATGGTGAACATGGTCTCCCTGCTTGTGGAAATAACAATAGGTAAAACCACCATCGATATCATAGTGGAAAGGGCCTCATGCACTGTCATCAACTTTGATAATCTTAAAGTCAGGTTCTTTCTCAGATATATCAGTCACTAAGAAAAAGGGCCAATATATTGTGTAACATTCCCATGATTGTAACATGTGCATAACTATTTTTACGATCAAAACCATGACAGCCATGCCAACAGGAGACAACCGAATCATGCACCAGGGTATACTCTCCAACATGAATAACTAGTAGAAAAAAGTTGCTTGCTCCAATATAAAGAGCATATTAAGTCAAACAAAGAAGCTCATGCCACTCATCCATTAAGTATCAAACATACATTCAAGAAATGCTGAAATGCCAATAATACTAGGAAACAAACCTTATTAAGCAGCAAGAAAGGAAGAACATGAACTAGTAAATATAAATGTATTGTCTTAGCACATACCAAAATTTTCCCAAAATATAAGATAAATAACCAAATTCATCACCCACCTGCAAACGAAACACGTGCCCCATCCATGAGTTTCTTTTTTCCTCTCTCAAAAAGGAAAAGCAACTGGCGGTTCTCACTGCCAATCTGCAAAAATCAGACAAAATATCCAACCAAGTTATAGATAAATAATCTAAAAACTAATCAATAGCATGCTGAGCAGACAAAAAAAGTGAAAATAACAAAGCAAAAGTCATGTGAAAACCTCAAATAGAAAGTCAACTGAGTTCATTGATGGATATTTCCATTTTAGGAGACCCTCATGTGTACGTGGTATATATGGATCATCCCATCCCTGAAATTGAAAAGAAAGAAATCAATATATAATTTATTCTACAACTGAACTTAAATGCACTACATTAGATTATCCTAACACTTCAAATCAATTGTGTTAATGATTAGCATAAGGGACTCAGATGTACAAATCTGAATAAATCTATCATTTGTGTACTGTTGTTATACAAAGGAGCTTTCAAACCCTACTTCTTGCTTTCTCTTTGATATTAACAGTTCAGCCATGTCATTTATCTCTTTGACCCATTTTGACAGAATCTAACCAAACCAGCTATTTAACCATGACCAGA